TTTCAAGAACACTTATTGTGCTCAATTGTATTCATTCTTGAGTGTTCTTTTCTTTGTTCTAGAATTGTGCAAGCAATCTACCTTGTGAGGATTTCCTTGTAAGTTTGCAAATTTGTATTGTTCTCTTTGGGAGAGAGTGTTCTTAAGAATTTGGGGTATAATTCTTGAGGATTTGTAAGGTTACTCTTTGTTCTCAAAAGAAAGACAAATTAGTGAATTTGTGAAAAATCCTTAGTGTGGATAGCTAAGGTAGTGGACGTAGACTTTGGTTGAGAAAGTCGAACCACTCTAAATCGCTGTGCAAATTTCTTTCAATTTTCTGCAAAAGCTTCCACCAAAATTTTAATTGCCAATTCACCCCCCTCTTGGTCATATTCTTCAATCGATTAACTCAACAAATTTTTTGCAAGGCTTAATTTTTATTCTACATTGTAGGAAAATACATATGGTTGTAAAGTTGGATGAATAAAGCTCTTCAACATGACACATACAAAATCTGCATTTATCTCATAGCAGAGTTAGTACCAGGGGAGCATATTGGCTGCTGTGGAAATTGATGCAAATGACTGCATTTATCTCATAGCAATGGCTGTTGTGGAATTTGAAAATTGTGATAGTTGGTAAGGGTTTCTTATTGGGAGACGACTTGTACATTAACAACTCTCATCATGTGACATTCATGTCTGATAAACAAAATGTGATAGTCCAAGTTTGATATTTATTTGCTACTATTTGTACATCTAATATATATTTAATTGTTGTTGTTTGTACATGGTTATGTGACAGGGACTTGTTGACTCTATTATTACATTGTTTCTCGATGTTGAACACAGAATTTGTGTTCGGTATTTATATTCAAATTTCAAGAATGTCGAAGGCTATAAAGGAAAAGCCTTGAAAGATACTCTGTGGAAAGCTGCAAGGGAAAATACTGTGAGGAATTTCGATAGAGCAATGACAGAAATGAGAGGGTTGTCAGAGGATGCTTACAACTGGTTAAAGTCAAAAGATCCTATCATGTGGTCCAAGTCTCATTTTCCCACAAGGTCAAACTGTGACATCTTGTTAATTAACTACTCAGAATGTTTCAATAAGGTAAATATAATTTCAATATTTATTTACTATTTCAATAAGTTAAAATTCATGTTTACATGTTTACTCAAAGGATGTTTATTGTTTCAATGTTTCAATAAATTGTATATTTCAACAAGCTAAAATTCATGTTTACTGTTTCAAAGTTTCAATGTTTATTGTTTCATTTGTTACTGTATGTTTCAATGTTTTCCACAATGATTATTGTTTGTTGTTTACTCGGAATATTTATTGTTTCAATGTTTCAAAATCTGTTTATTGTTTATTATTTCTGGAATCTGTTTAGTTACTAATGAACATAGTTTTCAAGATGGTTCTCGAGGCAAGAGACAAGCCCATCTTGACCATGATAGAGATTATTCGTACCAATATGATGCATAGAATTTCAAAAAGGGGATAAGATATTCATAAATACACTGGTTTATTGTGTCCTAAGATTCAAAAGAAGATTGACACATTAATTGGGTAAGATGTTAAGTGTTGGCCATCATATGTTGGAGGTCTAAGATATGAAGTTACATTTGGTTCATCTGGCCAACATATGGTTGACCTAGAAATTAGAGATTGCTCTTGTAGAAAATTGGGTCTTATAAGTATAATATGTCATTTAATACATAATTTAGTTATTTCCTTCTTCATTTGTATAACTACAGTTAGGAAATGGTGCATCTAATACCTTCATGTTTCTAAATAGGGATCTCATGTGCACATGTTGTTTCAGTCATGATATTTACTCAAGAGAAGCTAGAAAACTATGATGACAACTGCTACCATAGTTCAACTCAAATCTAGCTCTACTCTAACTTTATCTACCCTATAAGAGGAGAAAATTCGTGGGAACCAATCTCATCAATGGAGCCAATACTTCCTCCAATTCAAAGGAGGCCACCTGGTAGGCCTAAAAAGCAAAGGAAAAATGTTGATGATGAACAAGAAAGTGGTCCTAGTATGGGGCAAAGAACCCTAGAAATTAAGTGCAAGAAATGTGATAAAGTGGGCCATAATATAAGGACTTGTAGAACTCAGGTCAGAGACAATTCTAGGCTTATCAAACCACCTACTCTACACATGTATCAAGTGTACCTCCAGCACATTCAACAACAACAAATTGAGCTACTTCAAATCCAACACTTCCAATGTTTTAATCATCTTCTATTGGTGCACCTTCAGGGTTTCAATCATCTTCAATTGGTGCATCTCCAGGGTTTCAATCATCTTCAGCTAGCAGAGTACCAAAAATACTTGTGAGCATTTAATTATCTACCTTTCACTCTATTATTGCCTTTTCCTTTAACTTACAAGTGTATTCAATATTCCCATAACAGTTTAGGAGGTGTGATGTAGCAATTGCTCAAGTGCCAAGTCATACCATATCAACTGAGCAAAGGAAGGATATCAAACAGACAGTAAGAAGGTAAATCCAATTACCACAACAACAACCAACTGCATATTATGTTGTTAGATGGATGTTGCAATCACTTTCTCCCTCTTAAAACATGGTTATTCAGAATTCACAAGAATCAATTTCAAGTTTCAAACCACATAACAATTGATGGATGTTAAGGCTTAGTGGTTTTTTTGTATATGGCTTTGCATTTTTTGTATATGGCTCGGTCATTTTTTGTATATGCCTTAGTGGTCATTTTTTGTATATGGCTTACTAGATTAGTCAGAATGATAAAGCCGCCAAAAAGATATACCATGATACATGGTAACATTTTGATGTATTTTGAGAGAAAAAATGGTACAAGGTACAACATTACATATATTATGTAACTTATACCATTTTTCTCTTAATGTTTTATCAATGAAAGAAGTTATTTGAATTACTACTTAGACATGTTAATTGAAATATTATATTTTTTCAAGCTATTTGTGTGATTGATTTTCAATGAATATTTTATGGTTGGTAAAACAACATTAATCGAAAAGATGTGACAATTCATCTTCAATTGGCAATTACATTTTATATGGCAATTACATTTGCTTAAGGTTTTGGCCATCAATGGAAGAATATTGAAGTAAAAAACCCTAAATAAAATTAAAAACAAACAACCCACAAAATCCCTAAATATCAATGTAGCTTATCAATGTGAACTTGAAACACCAAACCTTAAACCATAAATAAAAAATAAAATCCTATATCAAATATTACCCCTTTCATCAACCCAAATAATCAACAAAAACAAAATCCCTAAACAACCCACCCAAATCACTCGCTCAAACCTTCCTCCTCTCTCCATGGTTCTCATATTCGTTAGCAAACCAACAATAGTAGTGCGTGAACGTAGATTCAATAGGGGATCATACCAAACAAAAAAATGCAATTTCTCCTTCCATGCCCATAGTTACTGCACCCAAATAATCTCCTTCTAGCATTATTATTCATCCAAGTTGTGCGTAAGCTAGCTGACATTCCACAAAAACATATTGGGATTGCAGTTAGTGGTGTATCCATTGCTACGAATTGATGACCAAACAAATATAAGGAAAGAAAATTTGATTTTTAAGGTTTAAGTTTTTTAATTTAGGGATGAAATTCGAGTTAGGTGCTGAATAAAGGAGCTTTTATTCAGCCCCAAATAGTAGAGTAACCGGCCACGTCATTCTCTACTAACGACAGCTAACGACCGATAACGATAGGGATCATGATGCAAACAAACTAAAAGTTCGATGAATGTGATGCAAGTTTCAAATGTTGGGTGACCAAAATGCAAGCGCCCTAAAAATTCAGCGACTATTTATATAGTTTACCCTTAAAAAATAATTGTTTCTTCCTAGACCACAAAACTCAATTTCATATCCCTTTCCCAATTCAATGAAAATCCCAAAATCTCTATGCTCATCAACTACGTTTTTTTGTCCAATTGGGCAAACGGGTAAATTATTTTAGAAAATAGGGTAAGTATAAATTTAATTTTAAATTTACGGTATTTACTATAGTGTTCAAAAAACTCGTCACATCGAGAAGACAAGTTCTAATAAAATATATATTTTTTTTATTAATTTTTATCATATCGAAATAAAAAAATTAAATAAAAAATATTTTTATTAGAACTCGTCACCTCGATGTGATGAGTTCTAAATCACTGTAACAAATATCATATATCCCTAAATAAACTTCTATATGCCTTATTAAGGTAATTAATTAAATTGTTTGCCCTATTAGGTAAAAAACCCTCAACTACAACTTCGTTTTAAAAGTTTTATCAATTTAATTTATAAGGAGATGAAAATATCAAAAAAAATGATTTGACCTAAAAGATAAAGATGTTAAGTTCGTTTAGAACCCTAGAAATAATGAGTCGTGCCTAGTCTTATATTTGTGTGCAACAGGTTAAGTTCATCAGTTGTTATGTTAACACCATGATGATTGTTTCCTAAAACTATAAGATTCGTTATACCTCCGGATTAAATTCATCGGAAAATGTACACACTCTACTGACATAGTCACTCGTAACATCAAATAAATAAAATCTTCAAAAACCCTCCAAAGATGTCAAGCCACCCTCGGAGCTACCATAGATGGTCACTCGAAGTTCTCCTTTACCATTTTCAAACTGATAGTCTACTGGTAGTTATGATGACTATGTTCGATATCAGTCATCCTATGATCACAGTATTTATACCTCAAGCAAGACCGAAAAGAGAATTCCTTCTTCCTCATCAACTGGTAACTACGACTCTCCATCCAAACTAAAAAGAATGAACTGCCGTTAACTATCAGCCAATCTCTCATCAACTGAAAACCACGACTCTCCATCTAAATCAAAATACCAAAAAGAATGATTTTGATTTATTTTTCGGTTTATTCAACTCGATCGAATACTCACCCTAATAAAATACCTTTGGCTCACGGTAAAAAGTAACCAGCAGGAAATAGAAGGCATCAATGAATCTAGGAATGAACCAAAAGTATGAAATCAGTTTTAAACAAGTCTCCACCTACAAAGAACAGCAACTAATTTATATACATAAAGTTCCAAAACAAGAAGCCAATGAGAGGATAATCTTTCAGATTAGAATATTTCAAGCCATCACCTGAGTTCTCAATCCTCCGATTCTAATCCGAAAGTGATCGGTTCTTGCCTGTTCAGCTAGTCCTGTGTAACGTTTCGGGACCGGAATCATCTTCACCAGGCATCATATTTAGATCAGGCAGTACGAAGATATCCTTGCCTGCATCGTGCGAATCTAACCGCGGTTTACGGTGATCATCCGATAGCAAGTTTGACTCTGAAGAAGGCGGCGGCCCCAGACGAGGTACTTTCTCTGGTTCATTATCGATTAAGCTCGAGTTCGAATCGAGCTGTGCAATACATGTGAAGTTTACATTAAAAAAACAACTCTCGACACAAAACATGTATTCTGAATTCGCAACTAGAAATTTTATTACCTCCTTTCTTCTTGACCTCTTGGAACTTGTTCTGTTGGTTTCACTAGAAGCACTGCTCTGCAAAACCCACCATTAATCAATAAAGCAAGCAGGCATTGAAAAAGAACTCGGAATTTGGGTCCATCCTTGTCGTGTTTGTTGAGGTCACAACATTGAGAGAAAGTAATGGTATATCCTAATTACAATCCATCCTTTCTGATTTGAACGAAAAATCATTGCCGAAATTGCACCGTAATGCCCGCATCAGTTCGAGTTAAAGGTGAAAAACAACAGATCCGATTCAATCCGTGAATAATAATACAATCGACCTTTACACATTTAGAGATAATTGCTATAATACCCCTCACTTATAGATTTTTTCAATTAGACCCTTATTTTATCTAATAGAAATAAGAACATGCATATTCATCCCTATCCCTACCTATGAGCCAGTGTAACAAAATTGAACTCAAATAAGTCGAACAACACACCAACTTAACCCAAATTCACAAATACTTCTTTCATAAATTTGGGATAAACACAAAATAACGTCTGTTCAAAGATTTTCAACCGGACATCGAACATACATAATATTCGAACCGAGACCTTTAATAATAACAACAAAATACTATCAACATCGGGATGCAAGGAAGAAACATGCAACCCAAGGCTCTTCTTTTAGTACAGCTGGCAGAGTCAGAGTGCCCAAAGCGGCGTAGAATTAAAAAAACGAAAACGACAAAAGCCGGTAATAAGACGCCACGTAAGACTGACAAGCACGCGACGAATCTAATCCAAGCCATGACTTGGCACACCACGCACGTGACTTACACAACCCCACGCTTAGAGCTAAGCTAATAACCCTGAGACAAGTTGAGAGACAACACTGATGTGCTGTTACAGATTGAGAAGGTAAACGAAGACTCCACCAAATCCGGTCACACCCGCGTCACACCTGATAAACTCTCCCCCTTCACTTCCACCTATTACTAAGACCGAAATGCCCCCGCTGCTCGGAAAGCTACTTGGACGGTGGGAGCTGGGGAATCTTATTTTCACTTCTGACAAATTGGTCCTCTACTGGAAAGGTCTGATCTGGTAAAGATGGTTACCGATGTAAACGGATTTCAGAGTTGATGAGTTTCAAGTATTAACCGAGCTCGTGATCTGTGTAGTTTCCTTTCCGGCCCTAAAAAGGGCGTGGTTTAAAAGGGAGGTTCGGTAAAAATCCGTCTTCACGTGAAGATGGTAAAAAAGTTTTAAAACACGGGGGCTTTTTAGTCCAACGGTCGGAATAAAATCCGATGATCGGAGATGTCGAATCGGAAAGTTCGATGATGAAGAGAAACGTTAATAATGGCAGATCTGGTGAACTCAGTGAGTCAGCTGGGAACCGATGAATTACTGTCATTCCAAATCAAAAACCAGAACGCGAAAAGGCAACCCCGAAAAAACGGCGGCGATACGTATTTGGGTATAGCCACGAAAGATTGTTTCTGTCAACCCGAAATATGAAAGCAAAAGAGATTCAACAACTTAAGAGAGAGAGCGAGAGAGGGAGAAGAAACCTTGGATCTGGAAGGTGCGACAGGATTTGAGCAGTGGACCTGTGTGCTGGTCACTTCAAAGCCGTCGACGGCGCAAGGAGAGGCGTCGCTGCTACCACCGCTCCAACAAAGCGGCGTGGTGGGACTACCTCTCGCACTGACGTTTAAATCTCCGTCTCTCCTGGCGTCGCATCGCAGCAGCATGTGTTTAGACCTCCGCTGACGTATCCCCCATTTAAACGCAGTCAAGGCAGATTTGAAAAGAGGAGGTGCCGCCTGGGCTTGCTTGAGCCTTAACAACAACTCAACCACCACGTTGTCGTCCGTGATCGCCGCCTCAACCCACTCATCATTCACCATCATCGTTATAACCAAAAATGAAAAAAGAGAGAGAAAACCAGATAATGATTGATAAACCTGTGGATTTTATATATGGGATTCGGAAGAGAGAGAAGAAGAAAAAGGATGAAAAGTGAGGGAGATGGGAGTGAGCAATAATATATAGAGATTGTGCAATTGTTGAGAAGGGTCGGGCGAGAACGCGAGAGTGAAGTGAGAAAAAGAAAAAAAGGAATCGTGTGTCAGGCTAATTTATATAACTGACACCGTTTGCTTTAAATTTTTTTTTCTGACATCGTTTGATCAATATTTTCAGAAGTAGCACTCTTTTTGCTGAGTTGACAAAGGCGCGTCCCCGGATACGCGATTTACCCGCGTTTTCGCTGAGTTGGATGCCACGTGTGGAAGGCGCGTCCCCAGGGACACGCCTTTGCCAACTCAGCAGACACGTATTTTGTTTTATAATAAATAATTTATTTTTATTATTATTATAAATTAATAATATATTATGTAAAATGTTTCGATTATAATGTAAGAATTATCAAATGTATTTTGTTAATGTGTGTTAAAGGTGGAGTGAATTATCTACATTAATATGATATAACAATATATGAAAACCAGTTTTGACTTTATTGTAGTTATAGGAAAAATGTATGAAATTATAATATTACACATATGGTTATATTATTATTTTTTATTTTGATTATCGATCTATTAATTTTATCAGTTAATTATTTAAATGTTATCAATCTAGTCATCTCATATCAATATTTAACGAAAATATTGATGCATAAGTTAATAAATTAGTATAATTACATATTTAATCTTCAAGACTTACATATTTTATAAAATTAGTCTTATTGAAAATTTAATTTAATAAATTTAATCCTCCAATCAGAACATGAAATGTGTCATCGTATACATAAACTTTTTAATAACTTTTAATTTGTTTAATTTAATATTTTCTCTACTTAGAAGGTGGAATTATTATTATATTTTTAAAAAATTATAACTAATAATATTAATTATTATATTAAATAAATATATTAAATATTTATGTATTTAAAAGTTAAAAAAATTATTTAGGTGTACATACATTGACAAATTATATAAATGCAATAACATTAAATTATTAGAAACAAAAACATTCATTTAAATACAATATTAATTACATAAGAGTTAACGGTTATATGATGATAACAGAGCTGGACATTTTTTTCTATTGTGCCCGATGTTTCTACAATGCCCACATCGTTTTTGTTCTGTTGACTTCTCCCGAATATCCATATCACAATGTATTCTAGTAGATTTTGGACGACCTGAGTCCCTCAATAGCAATGGATCTGGTACAATTGTAAGCCAAGTTTGAATCTCATTTGGGTCTCTTTCGTTTCTTATGGGCGGAAACTCAAATTCATATACCTTGAATACTTGTGAAAGTTGGTATACGGGATCAACATAATTTTTGTAGTCCAAATGCGAATGTGAGCAAGCAGCAATGACATGAGAGCATGGATATTTGAGTGCTTGAAAGAAACCACAATCGCACCACCTCTCTTGCAGATTAACTCTGAAAGAGTTAGCTTCAATCCCTTGCAGCGGACGTGGCATTTCGGTTACACGAAACAATTCACGGGTGTGAGAAAAAATTGTAACTAACATCCCATTTGATGCAGCCACTTTTTTCTGTAAATCAACTACTAGTCTTGGGTGGTAAATATGTCCGTTTTGCATCCAAGTAAGAGCTTGTCCACCGAGCTTTGCAAAGAGTTGACCCAAACGAAAATAAGTCGTTTAACCAACGCCGTGACTGGTAAATGACGCGCCCCTTTAAGGTTGAATTTATTGCTTCAGCCAAGTTTGTTGTCATATGACCATAGCGATACCCCCGTCATATGCATTTGTCCACATTTCTTTGCTGATGTCCATAATGTACTCGCACCCCTTCTTATTTTTGCCAAACAGCTCTTGTAGCATCGACTCAAACCTTTAAGGTAAGAGTTCGTAACCTAAGCCATTAGGAATATGTAATAGTTAATATAAAGTATAAATAAGTAATAAGAAATTGATAGAAAAATTGGGAAAAAGTAACATACCCATCCGCACGACTAACTGACGTTCATCGTTCTTCTTGTATTTTCCGTAATAGTTTGCAGTAATATGACGGACACAATAACGATGTTGAACATGTGGAGGTCTATACATTGTACCCAAAGAGTCCATTGCTGCTTTTATCCCGGCTCCTCAGTCTGAAATAATGCATAAATGTTCCCTGGTGACAACATGTAAACGTAAATTTTTAAGGAAAAAAGCCCAAGACTCAGTGTCTTCTCCTTGAACGAGGGCAAACGCAACAGGAAGAATATTGCGATTTCCATCTTGGACCACAGCCAATAATAAAACTTGCTTGTATTTCCCATACAAGAAAGTACCATCAATTTGGACAATTGGTTTACAGTACTTGACTGCATTAATACACTGAGGGTAAGTCCAAAAGACTCGGTAAAATTGGCAGCGATCGCGAACCATTCGATCATTCACGTAATGATGTTGAGTTTCGAACTCAACAATTTTCTCAGGATTAAGTCTTTGCACAACATGAAACCAACTGGGCAGCTCGTTGTAAGAGGAATCCCATTCGCCATGAAGTTTGCAAATGGCATTCTGTTTTGCCAACCACGCTTTTTTATATGAGACAGTGTACCCATATTGTGACTCTATAGCAGAAATCAACACTGCAACAGCTATATGAGAGCTTTGCTTCACAATGGGCATGATTGCTTGACAAATAATGTTGGAGTCCAAGTTGGGATGATCCTGGTTTATACCTGTTGCACAACATGTATGAGGACCGTTGTATCTGGTTAGTTCCCATAAGTTGTTCTTCCTCTTCCTCTTTGATACACGGACCATCCATTGACATCCGTTGTCACGTTGGACGCAGTAGCAGACATATTTCTCCGTGTTAGATCGATCAACTCGGGACTGAACTGAGTTATGAATATTGTAACTCTTTATTGCCATCATTGCTTCCTCCTTCGATGCGAACTCCATTCTAATATGTAAATTACCGTCATTGACTGATGATTGAAGTCCATAGTTGCCAACATCAGGAAGATCTGGAAATTCAGGCTCATACATTGCATCATAATCAGCCTCATACATATGTGCAGGAAGTTTGGCTGGTGTTGTATTTATCAGAACGTCATCCTCGTCATCATCAGAATGTACGTTAAACTGTGGTGAGTCAGGTTCAACGAATAATCCCGTTTCAACACCATCTGCACCTGGCTCCCGAAGAGGTTCTTCTGGTGGAGATGAGGGTTCCTCCGATAATCCAATGTTGAGGTCAAATAAGTTCCCGCTTGCGTGTCCTCCCCTTGAACTTGAGGCCATTGTATCATGTGGGATGTGAATAGACTGTCGTCTCGTTGGCATTTCCATATGTAAGTCGAAAACATTGGCAGATGAATGTCTGCCCCTTGAAATAGAAGAGATGTTGCCATATGGATTATTGGTGAAGCCACGTGGGTTGAGATCATAAGCAGTTGCAGATGAATGCCTTCCTATTGAACTTGATGGCATGGTATATGGCGTTGGATCCGCCATTAATGATGTGAAATCATTACAGATCAGTTGTGTCGGGCTATCAACTTGATCAGTTTGATATGCAATGCCAAATTGAGAGGAATATGAGAGACCACGAGTTGCACGAACCTCAATAAAAGTGGCATACATTTCAATAAGAGATTGTGAACTCCCCATATGAGCATCAACCATCATAGAAACATCATCATCGTTTGAAAGCTGAAATGATGTATACGTGAGCGGAAAAAGTTCAGTAGGAAATCTGTACTGAAGTGAAGATAGTCTTCTCTGGCATGCTACACGAATCTTTAACGAAATTTTTGTGATTAACTCCTCAATTGTGATGTTTTTCTTCAAGGTTAAGGGGATATAATGATCTGACTCAAAAACAACCCCCTCTTCAGCTTCCTTAATTTCTCCATCATACAAAACAACAGCAGAAAGACGACTCATTTTCAGAGAATTTGAGAATTTAGAGTTTGGGAATTTGAGAATTTGAAAGATTATGAACTGAAGTTTGTTTTGAAAGTTTATAATACGTTGCATATAATAGTGTCTATAATCGGAGTACTATTCACATGAAGGCGCGTTCCCGGGGGCACGCCTTCCATTATTTCGTCAGAGAATATGTTATCATTGCCCTATTATGTCACTCATGTCCCTCGGGGACACTAGATATATCAGTACCTATTATTTCACTATTCACATGAAGGCGCGTTCCCGGGGGCGCGCCTTCCATTATTTCGTCAGAGAATATGTTATCATTGCCCTATTATGTCACTCATGTCCCTCGGGGACACTAGATATATCAGTACCTATTATTTCACTATTCACATGAAGGCGCGTTCCCGGGGGCGCGCCTTCCATTATTTCGTCAGAGAATATGTTATCATTGCCCTATTATGTCACTCATGTCCCTCGGGGACACTAGATATATCAGTACCTATTATTTCACTATTCACATGAAGGCGCGTTCCCGGGGGGCGCCTTCCATTATTTCATCAGAGAATATGTTATCATTGCCCTATTATGTCACTCATGTCCCTCGGGGACACTAGATATATCAGTGCCTATTATTTCACTATTCACATGAAGGCGCGTTCCGGGGCGCGCCTTCCATTATTTCGTCAGAGAATATGTTATCATTACCCTATTATGTCACTCATGTCCCTCGGGGACACTAGATATATCAGTACCTATTATTTCTCAGGGGACATAAAGGCGCGTTCCCGGGGGCGCGCCTTCCATTATTTCGTCAGAGAATATGTTATCATTGCCCTATTATGTCACTCATGTCCCTCGGGGACACTAGATATATCAGTACCTATTATTTCACTATTCACATGAAGGCGCGTTCCCGGGGGCGCGCCTTCTATTATTTCATCAGAGAATATGTTATCATTTCCCTATTATGTCACTCATGTCCCTCGGGGACACTAGATATATCAGTAAATCAGGTAAATTATAACCAAAATTTAACTTCTTTTGAAAGTTCAGCAAGTTAAGAATAACTTAAATTAAAACGTTATGTGAAGTTTGAATAAATTAGATAAAATGTTATGGATAAATTGAATAAATG